CCCCAAAACCCCAAAACCCCAAAACCCCAAAACCCCAATAATTTAAAATTCAAATGAAAATATTTTAACAAAAATGATAGATTATACATTCAGAAGTATGTCTGAATTCACCCCAGTAAAGCATGGTAGATCCCTTGCTAAGAAGCTTGGAGAGGGAACTTTTGGGACTGTCTTCTTAGCCTATGATGATGTTGAAAAAGAGTATGTAGCAATCAAAAAGATAAAACTCAAAAAATTTGATGAAGGTGTTCCCAAAGATGTAATCAGAGAGATTGAGGCACTCAAATGGCTCAGAGGAAACCCTAACATTATTGAACTTAAAGCAGTATTCTTATAGACGAAGACTGCATTGTCCTCGTCCTAGAACTTCTCGAGTTCGATTTGTTTGATTACATCAAGTTTTGGAAGACAAATGAAGGAGATGAAGAGAAGAGGATGAAAGAAATACAGCGAATTATGTACATGCTTGTAATTTCTACCTAAAGTTTATAAGTAGATAAGTGCAGTCCATCAGTGACATATGAATAACATCATGCACAGGGATATCAAACCTTCCAATATAATGTTTGATAAAAGTGGGAAGTTGAAACTCATTGATTTTGGTAACTTTTTAATAACTCTAGGTCTTGCAAGAGTCTCTGTTCCTGACGAATCTCTCCCTGGTATACTTTATTTAACATATTAGAGAGAGTAATGTCGCTTGAAATTGGCACACGATGGTATAAAGGTAAATTATTTATCTCATTTAGATAGCTCCTGAAGTTCTTCTGGGAGCTAAGGACTATGACAAAAGGTATCTTGCACATTCTAATTATTTCAGCATTGATATATGGGCAATTGGGTGCATATTTGGAGAATTATTAGGAAATAAAACACTATTCAAAGGATGAAATGATATTGAACAAATAGTGATGGTAATAAAGACAATAGGGACCCCTAATGACACAACATGGCCGAACTTTAAAAACCTTCCAGATTTTCCCAAACTCATTTTCCCAAAAAGTGAGGGAACTTCAATGAAAGATATATTTCCTAAGTATGAAGGTGTGATAACAGATTTCTTACAAGATTTGTTGGTAATTTCTTAAAATTATATATCAGACTCTGAATCCTGAGAATAGGCTACTTACCTCTGAGGCATTAAAGAATAAATACTTTACTGATGATCCTCCTAGAGAGGAGGATTGATACATTGATTTGCCCAGTATGGATGGAGAAGGGGAAGACTCATTTGAAGCATAGCATAAGTCCTAAAATCCATTCTAAAGTATCTTCAAATCCCATTATAATTTAGGGGTTTTGGGGTTTTGGGGTTTTGGGGTTTTGGGG